CTGAGCAAAAAAAATAAAGCTGGAGGTATTACTCGCGATTTATTAAGTAAACCAAAATTTTCTAGAATGGACATTCATGCTCTTCACTTTGAAATGAAAATATCTTTATTCAAGCCCTTTCAAAATTAATCAATGTTACACAACTATAATAAAATACGTAGGATATTCATACAATGGCAATTACTCAGCAATAAAATGAAACAAACTACTGATACATTTTAAAATATACAAATCTCACAGACTCTACGCTTAGTGAAAGAACCTAGACCCCAAAACTTACATGCCATACAATTCTGTTTATAGTCACATGCCTCATGATTATGTTTACGTCAACAGCAGGCCTCATATAAGACGGTGATCAGAGCGATAGGCTGTACCATGTAGCCAGAGTGTGCAGTAGGATGTAAGCATACTCTTATGATGCTTCCACAACAACAAAATCACCTCAGGACACATTTCTCAGAACGTATCTCTGTTGTTAAGCAATGCATGACTTATGAACTTTTAGAATAGGCAAAATTAACCTGTGGTGGCAAAAAAAAAAAAGCTGAAGAATGACTGCCTCTGGGGAGTTGATGAAGAAGAGGCATAAGTAAACTTTCTGAGGTGATGGCAATATTCTATACATTGATGAGGTTTGGATTACACAATAGTATGCATGTGTCAAAAGTTAAAAAATGTACATTTGAGATTTGTGTGTCTCATTGTAGTAAATTTTATCTTGAAGAAACCACAAACAAAAAAAAAGTCAATATTCCTTTTTCTTACCAAGAAATCCTAGTTTCTTAAATGCGACAAGAGAATGAATTTAGATTACATCAAAAATCCCCTTATTACTCTTTAATTATTGCCTGCATGTATAAGGGGAATGAGGGCTTTTGTTTGTCATTTTTATTTTATTGTGTTGCATTTTTACCTCTGGCAATCCTTGTGGAGAGAAAGCACTGAAAGGTGGCACAATATCTGAGACATTTTCATATCCTGGAGAAGGTGGTTCAAATAATGATGTGTTGAAAATCTACATAAAGAAAACACAATAATCAAAAGTAAATCAGTTAATGTTTGATTACTACAATCAAACAAGGAAAAAAATGTGCATTATCTCTTCAGTCAGTAGCGGGTTAATCAATCCTTTGGTATTTTGATAATACATATCAGATATCCAGCACTGTGCTAGAAGCTGTGAGGAATTCATGAGATGAATAAATTACAGACCCTGTCTTCAAAATGGTAAATCTACTTAGGGAGACAAAGCTAAAATCAAAACAAAACATATACAATAAGATTGCAGAAGGAACCTAAATACTGCACACAGGGAATTTCAACTAGTGCAAATGGAAAAAAAAAAATGATTAAAAAACAGTACGTTTGACTAAATAAAATCAGCAACGGGATCGCAACCCTCAGTGTTGCTTCCGCACCTCGCTGAGCCAGTGAGCAGCTGGTCTGTATGTGGGTCAGTGAGCAGCCGGTCTGTATGTGGGATCCGAACCCTCGGTGGCGCTCCCGCTGCGCTCCCAAGCGGTGCACTGTAGCAGTGCGCCACCGGCCGGCCAGCATATACCATTTTACAAGGAGTGATTTAAACATGGGCAAGTTTGAAACTAACAAAACTGAAAAAGAAATACCAAGCAAATGCTAACTTAAAAAAGAAATTAATTTTTAACATGAATTTTAGCACAAACTCAAAGAATCTTATTAAGAGATAGAGAGGCCAAGAATTCCAAATTTGTTTACTTCAGATAACAGAGACTCAAACTATAGGAAGCAGTAACTGACAGAATTACAAAGAAAAATTATTAAAAATGCACCATTATAATGAGATAATTTAACATTTCTTTTTCTGTAATTAATAAAGAAAGCAGTCAAAATGAGAGCATATGAAGGATAAAGGAGATTTCAGCCAAATAATAAACTCAAATGAATGAGAATAAAACATTAAACCAAGCAACTGAAAAATATATATTTTTCCAATGAATTGCAGAACATTTATAAAAATTGACCACATATTAGGCCCTTAAGAAAGCCTCAATAACTGTCAAAGAATTAGTGTCTGTAAACCACATTATCTGATCACAATACATTTAATTTAGAAATCAGATCAGATAAGGAGAACAATATTTAAATTCAGAATTTTAAAATGCTACTAAATAGTTCCCGGATCAAAGAAGAAAATATGTGAATTAGAAAATATTTAGATATTAATGATAACTAAAATACTTCTCCTCCAAACTTGTGAGATCTAGCTGAAGTGGTTCTTAGAGAAAAACTTAGGGCTGTAAATGTTCATATTAGAAAAAGTTGAACATCAATAAGCTAAGCATTCAACTGAGGATGTTATAAACAACAGCAGAGTAAACACACAAAAAAGGTAAAAGAGGAAATTCTAAATTAAGAACAGAATTAATATAACATAAATCACAGATACATATAAGAAAAATTGTCAAACAGAAGTTTATTCTTTAAATACACTAGTAAAATTGGCATATCTCTTTTGAGATCAATAAAAAATATAGTAAAAGCACAAATAAACAATATTAGTTATAAAAAAAGCAGATCTACAGATATGCACAGACTAAAAAAGATAAGAAAATACTAAGAATAACTATGACCATAAATTTGAAAATTTAAATAAAATGGAAAAAGGCACGTTAAAAAACTTGTAAAAACTAACACAAGAGGCCGGCCCGTGGCTCACTCGGTAGAGTGCGGTGCTGATAACACCAAGGCCGCGGG